TCATCACAACATAAGAACCGCAAAAGAGCCCTGTGCTGGGCCTGGCCAAGGGCCCCTCTTAGTCCAGGTTCCTGCATCTCACCATGGCCCCCACCAGATGCCTCAGGTTGCCCACGAGACCACGAGATTCCGTGTCTCCTGATAACCCCTTCTCTGGCCTCTGGCCGTTGGAGGTCCCTTCCTTCGAAGCCTGGAGATGATTCATCCCCATCATGGCTTTTCCTCCGGGAATCTGTCCAATCCCCCTTTGAAAGGCTTCTAGGCCAGATGCCATCCCCACACCCGGTGGCAAGGATAACAAATCCAAAGAGGACATTATCATCTCTACACAAGCTTTCCATTATGACCACTTTATTGACAAGTTTTTCCTTGCTGGCGAGGATCAAATCCTTTTTGTTTCTTCCACCCGTGGAAGATGACCTTGTCAGCAAAGCAGGTTAAGAATCCATCACACCTTGCATTCTTGACAGAGTTGGACTTCCAGACTGGTTGAGATCTTCCACTGCGACAGGTTCTTGTCTTGATCTGTTTGATAGTCTAATGGAGGAGGGCGTCCTTCCGGGCTTCTTGTACAACTGGCCTTCTGTGTCTGCAGGCTTCTATTGAAAACAGTTGTGGGAAAACTGTGCTCAAGGTCGTTAGCGGCATTCTTGTTTCAGTGAGACCAAACGCTCCTGGCAGAGAGCAGGGGCAAGGTGACCACTCATTCTGCCTTAAGAGTTTCTCTGGCCAATCCTATTGGTGATTAGGTAACTAGTATCCTATCTGAATTCTCTCAACATTCTGTGTAAGAGTGCTAGTTAATAAAAAAAATTCTCAGGGGGTGGCTTTGAGGCTCCGCTGGTGGACATCTGCTGTCACTTCTTTGCAACTTCTCTCTAAAGCTAATTGCCTTCCTATTATCTGTAATCACCCACATCATTAGCCTTCCTTATTGTTCTGTGATCAGCTACAAACTGTCATTTCACTATGTAGCTGGGAAAGATGAGTTAGTTTTCCTTTCTGACACTTCCAGACCCAACTTACAAATGAACATGATGCCATTTTGGAGAGAAATGGAGACACGAAGAGGAAAGTAGGAGCAAACATTCGGGAGAAGCTGAAGGTAACCCTTCTGGTACTTGAGTTCTCTGCCTGCAAGAGGACAGTTAGAGGTTGCTGAAGGTTAGTGCCAAGGCAGCATGGTTAGGTAAAAAAGAATAGGTAAGTCTCATCTAGGACTGCTTAAAGAAAATTGATTCAGCATCAGCCAACCACAAATTATGGTACATCGCTATGCAAAATGTATAAAATCAGCTCAGTTCCTCAGAGCTGGCAAGGAAAGGCAAGATGGCATCATAGCCCACAACTCATGATTTTTATGCTCTCTTGGGCAAGAGACTTCAATGAATTTTTAATGTGTATCAATGTAACAAAATATTAATTACTTAAGCCTATGCATTATACTCTTCACTTTTTATCATGTGGCTGCAATATCTATTTTTTTGACAGCAATATTTTATAGATACACATTTTGGAGTGATGGTTTTCTTGTGTATTAAATATACAGGTAATATAGATAAATAAAAGCATATTAAATCATATCAGCTTGGCCAAATCAATTTTCTACTCATAAATAGTAGGATAAAAGGATAAAACAAGAGAACTATTTCATCATGGAAGAGATGTAACTTATTCCAGAAGAGGGGAGGCTGAAACGTTTATAGAAGGATACCCAGATCAGCCCAGTGGCTGAGGTCAACCTGGGTTCCACACAAGCTACAAAACTCTCCTCTATAGGCTGATGGAATAATGGAGTTGGAAGGGGCATATAAAGCCATGACGTCTAAGTGTCTCCCCACTGCCCGAGACCTTGTCTACTGATTGCCTTTCAGAGACGGCTCCCACCTGATTCTGAAGTTATCCAGAAGCAGGACCTGGTTTATACAGTCAGCGCAAAAGAATTCTGGAATAGACAACATCTCAATCAGGAAGAAACAGGTAATAATGGGTGCCAGAGATAATTCTGAGACTGATTTTTGCCATCAACCACCTGCTCCCCATATTCACCCAGCTGTCCAGTGGATGTATGGGGCAGTGGTGACTTCTGAATTCCACTGTTATGGAACGAGTGATGCGGTGTCAGCTTTTGAGTGTGCCAGGGCCCACTTAGGGGATATGGTGGTGCCTCGACTTACAAACATCTTGCTTTTTAGATTACTCCCAGTGGACGGATTAACCGCTTTTCAGGATTCTTGTAATATAAGCCCTACCCCAAAAATAAACCCCAGTTAAGTGAAACCCCACTCTCCACCATTGTGCAGCAACCAGAAGATGACATGACTGTATTTGAATAAATGTACCCTGCTTCCCTGAAAATAAGACAGGGTCTTATATTAATTTTTGCTCCAAAAATGCATTGGGGCTTATTTTGAGGTGACATTTTATTTTTATTTTTTTCATGGACAACAATCTACTTTTATTCAAATACAGTCCTGTCCTCTTCTTCTGGTTGCTGCACAAGGGTGGAGGGTGGGGCTTTCACTTAACTAGGGCTTATTTTGGGGAAACAGGGTAGATTGTTGTACATTTTAAAAAAACATCCCCTGAAAATAAGCCCTAATGCATTTTTGGAGCAAAACTTAATATAAGACCCTATCTCATTTTTGAGGAAACATGGTATATATGTGTGTATTTTGTGCTGTCAAGTCCAAACTAATTTACAGCAACGCTAGTAGGGCTGTCAAGGTAAGTAAGCTATTTAAGGAGTGATTTTACTACTTCCACTCCCCCAGTGAGTAGCTGTGGCCAAGTGGGAATTTGAACCCTGTTCTCCAGAGTCCTGGTCCCTCACTCTGTCCACCAAACCACACTGGGAATCATGCTGAGCGACACAGCACAGACTAAAATCCAGAATGGATTAAGAATCCCTCTTAAATTTGCCTCCCTCTCTCTGCCACTGCTTCCATCAAAAAATTCTTAGGTGGAATGCTTGTCGACTTTTTACACTTTGTTTTTAACCACGTCTTTTCGAATCTCAGAGATACCAGAGCTGAGGAAGTACATCAGGAAGCTTTCCCTAAGAGAAAAGAAGAGGCTGGTTATGGAATATGTGAAAGAAATTTCGAGCATTCTCCTGCTTGCTGAGAACACTGGTTCCAGAGAGCAACTTGTGGTATGTCCTCTCCACCGGGGCAAACAAAATGGCGGCCGGTCCCCGAGGGGTGATCCTCCAAAGCAGAGGGCAGGCAGAGTGGCCAGGGCTTCGGAAGGCGTCCCAGTGTCCTAGGAAGGACGAGGTTCTGGGTGAGCCATGCCCAGCGAGCTCTGTGCCATCAGCTGGGTGGCTGCAGTGGTCCAGGTGGGAGGTGGCCATGTGACCCCCAGCCCCCCAGCAAGGGCTTCTGTGGCTCCATTACACATCACCATTTCTTCAGAGGTCCTTTAAGCAGCAGAGACGTTGAACCGCAGAAGCCTCTGTGCTGCAAGGTCAGAAGACCTGCCGTCATAAGATCGAATCCACGCAGCGGAGGGAGCTCCCGTCACTTGTCCCAGCTCCCGCCAAGCTAGCGGTTCAAAAGCATGTAAAAATGCGAGCCGATAAGTAGGAACCACCTCGGTGGGAAGGTCACGGTGTTCCGTGTCTAGTCGCGTTGGCCATGTGACCACGGAGGATTGTCTGCAGACAAACACTGGCTCTATGGGTTGGAAACAGAGATGAGCACCGCCGCCTAGAGTCAGGCACGACCGGACAAATTGTCAAGGGGAACCTTTACCTTTACTTTTACTGGGTGGGGAAGAATCCCGGAAGAATGAAAGTGTGTGCGTGTGTGTGTGAAGATCAGATGAAAACTAGGTGTAACGAGCATCTGATAGTTGGGGAAGTGCAGGACTGGAACGTTTCAACCTATTTCATTTATTGAAACGTTTCTAGCTCGCCCTCACGGTAGATTATAAAGCTATATGAAACCAATGTAAAACATATTTTCCACAATTTAGCATCCAACAGCATGAAATTAAAATACTCAGACCATTAAGAACACTGGACCGAAACCTGTACTGGTCACAGTCCTCCACTCCGAATGCGATGCTACCCCCCTCCCATGTGACCACGGAGGATTGTCTGCAGACAAACACTGGCTCTATGGGTTGGAAACAGAGATGAGCACCGCCGCCTAGAGTCAGGCACGACCGGACAAATTGTCAAGGGGAACCTTTACCTTTACTTTTACTGGGTGGGGAAGAATCCCGGAAGAATGAAAGTGTGTGCGTGTGTGTGTGAAGATCAGATGAAAACTAGGTGTAACGAGCATCCGATCGTTGGGGAAGTGCAGGACTGGAACGTTTCAACCTATTTCATTTATTGAAACGTTTCTAGCTCGCTCTCTGTTGCCAGATCTCACGGTGGATTATAAAGCTATATGAAACCAATGTAAAACATATTTTCCACAATTTAGCATCCAACAGCATGAAATTAAAATACTCAGACCATTAAAAACACTGGACCGAAACCTGTACTGGTCACAGTCCTCCACTCCGAATGCAATGCTACCCCCTCTGCAAACTGTATGTTAAATAGGTTCGTCTTTAAGAAGTCTCAGGGCTTTCGTCTTTTGCTGTGGCTGCAGCAGAGGATGACCAAAGTGGCCTCCCTGGCCTTTTCAACTCTTGTCTTCTCTTCCTGCGACCCTTGCAGCTTCGGCTTTGAGAGAGAGTCAGGCTTTCCCCATTTCTGCCTCTTCCATTCTGGGGCCTGGATGTTGATTTTTATGTGATGACTTCCATGTTGTTTCCCCAGGAGCAGCATTTTCGAGAGAGTGGCATTGAGGAGTTTGTGAACCGCCAGATCGCCGCTTTGGGAAGGATGATTGCAAAGTGCTTTGATCAGATTAAAGACCTCCTCCCTGAGGGTGTGGAAGAGGCCAAACGCTCCTATGTCAGAACAGTTTTGAAATTTCTCAATGTAAGGAAATTCCTTATACTCTTATTAGTATCCCGTAGAATTGCTTACGTACTCTAAATAGCCTTCATCTGCAGGTTCTTTTACAAGTGGTTCAGTTTCAGCTGTCATCTTTTTCTTGCTAAATTCTACCCTATTTCCATTGACACCGTGTGGGACTGAATTGGTTTGATTTGGATCCACATTCGGTGGAAGGAGATCTCCTTCTTCCCTTCTTCCCCTTTGGAGGTCCTCCTGTCCCCTGAAATGGGGCACAGACAGCTAAGGAATCCTATGGACCACATCCAGCTCATGCATGAAAAACATTGTCATCATCATCATCTTTAGGCTGGTTCAGTACAAAATAAAAATCATTTGGGGTACTGCAGCAAGACTTTGTGACCCTAAGTCTCATATGCTGGAGGGGACATTGAGTCATGATGAATGACAGCAAAATATTTGTTGGCAACACTGTGGAAAGGTACGGCCAGTCACCCCGCTCAGGGTTTCCTATACTTTTTCTGAGTCGTGACTCCCTTTTATAAGAGCCAAGTCACCTGCAACCTGCCACCACATTTGCATAAAAAGATATTTTTATGGAGTGAAGAAAACACTTTAAAATATACGGTATATATTTCAAACCCTAATTCTAACCTAATCTAGTAATATTAATGTAATAATACATTAATATTACTGCGAATCTGCTTCAACCAGGTAAAATTTGAGAAGGAAAAACAATACACTTTGAGTTTAACTTACTTTTTAGGGGTGTGGAAACAACCCTTCTTTCATGTCCTCTCTCCCCCCCCCAAATGCCCCCTCCATGAAATCTTTCCCTCTCAAGAAGCTTTTCATGTTTCTTTTTTTGTTTTTTGACTTACCCTTTAAGGGCAAAGGGACATGGTGGTGCTGCGGGCTAAACTGCAGAAGCCTCTATGCTGCAGGGTCAGAAGATCTGCAGTCGTAAGATCGAATCCACGCGACGGAGTGAGCTCCCATTGCTTTGTCCCAGCCCCCACCAACCTAGCGGTTCGAAAGCATGCAAATGCAAGTAGATAAATAGGGACCACCTCGGTGGGAAGGTAAACAGCGTTCCGTGTCTAAGTCGCACTGGCCATGTGACCACGGAAGATTGTCTACAGACAAACGCTGGCTCTATGGCTTGGAACCGGGGATGAGCACCGCCCCCTAGAGTCGAACACGACTGGACAAAAATTGTCAAGGGGAACCTTTACCTTTACCTTTAAGGGCCATCTGCTAGAAACAATAGCACTCAATTGACTGATGGATCTCCTTCCTGAGACAGAATAGGAAGCAAATCATTCTCAAAATTTGTGACTGAATTCTCCAGATAAAAAATGAATACATGTTTATGTACACTTTTTAACTGGAGGATTCCTCTGCAAAATCTGGAGACTATGGCTAGTATCACTGCTGCCTAAATGAGGAGCAGAAAAGAAATCACAGAAGCATATTTTGCTGACTTTGTCTTGAGACACGCGAGCCGTGTGCATGCTAAAACTGAAAAAAGGAACTCTTTAATTAGGGGCAATCTGCCACTTCCGATGACATCATTCCCATTGCTCAAGTGAAGTTACACAAGAGGATACTGGCCATAACAGAACAGATACAGAAATAAATATTATATAAATGTAATCGTTACATTGTCCGTGACAAGCACTGGGTTGGACTACCCAATTTTCAACATGCTTGCAGAGCTAATGATTGTTGGAATATCTGAATTATCAGAGGGAAGAGTATTCTGCCTGTAGGCAAATACCTTCCTCCGAAAGACTGTGGCAGAGGCCAGTGGCTCCCTTGGAAGGGCCTTTTTAGGCTAAATCAATCTTTGAGGGGGAGGGCAATGCCACATGGTTCATGGGACAGATACATCGAAAGAGGCCTGTTCTCAGCCGATACAGTAAAACCCTTCTGTCAAGATATCATGGCCCATGAAGTAGAATTTGCTCTTCTCACATGAACCAAAGTTTGCTAATAGGTATCCATCTTGGAACGGGGGGCAGCCACAGGGTCCGCACACGAAGCTGATGCAATCCTTGGAATGTGTTTTGGACATGTAGGTCATGTCTGGGGGAAAAGATCAGGTGGTGTGCCCAGGGATTGGCTACTCACACGATATATGTGCTGCACACTCTGGTGATATGTGGCGCTTTGTGTTGCTGCACGAAACACTGTCCGTTTATTTACTGATAAGCGTGTTGCGGAGTCTGTTGGCTGACGTCCCTAGTTCCGTTGCACATCGTCTCTGAATACACTGCTGGCGAAGGAAGCTCCTCTCTCTGCGAGTCTCTTGGCTGTCCACCTGGAAGACCGACTTGTCTTGAGACCGTCTCCCGCTTACCCCAAATCTTGACACCTTCTTTCAAATTATCCAGAGAGAAAAGGGGTATAAAGGTTTCCACCAGACCCTAAGAGCTGTCTGCGTGAAGAACGGCGTGTATGCCTCGAAGTCTTTTGCACGCATCGATCTGAACGAAGACCTCGCCCGGCCCATTTACAACAAAATTGGAAGCAGTTTCGGAAGCATTTTCAGGTAGGAGAGACTCCGCTCCGCTCTGAAACGCATAGTTTTTAATTTTCACTTTGGAAACCAACTCTGAGCTCCCCTGCCCTTCTCTGGTCTTCCCAGCTTCGGTGTAGTTGAGAGGAGGCGGAGAAGACTCTTCTCCCCAGGGTCAATGTTCCTCAGCAGGCTCCTTTCTCCTGAGGAGACCAGACATGGCAAGGAGAAGGTGGTGGGAGAAGCCCTCTTCCCCGTAGATTTTCAGGTGTTCCTGTTTATTGGCACAATCTTTACCCTGTTAATTCTCATTTTGCTTTGAACCAGTGACTATGCTGTCCCTCTAGAATCTTTCACAGTGACATTGAGTTTGTTCTGTACTTAGCTGGGGATTTTACTTTATTTAAATTGGTGGTGTTTTGTAACAAATAGTGGGTCTTTTATATTTGCAAAGGCTTTCACGGCCAGGACCTAATGGTTGTTGCGGGTTTTTCGGGCTCTCCAGAGGACAGAGGGCTGTCTTTTGAAGATGCCCATGGCCACAGAGACTGGTGAAACGTCAGGAAGAACAACCTTCATAACACGGCCAAAGAGCCCGAAAAACCCACAACAACCAGTGGGTCTTTTAATCTGACATTTTTTGAAGTGTGGTTCTAGACAAACTCAGAATTCAGTAGTGGCACATAAATCAGCAGAATTAAACTAAACCAATAGCAGGGTACGCATAGTCAGCCCCTCAAATGGATCTCCCGACTAGGTTCATAGGTGCCTCTTCTGTAGCTGCCGTCCTCATTGGGTAGCTTTTCATCTGCTTCTGCAAGCCTGGCTGGAAAAAAAATGGAGTTCTTGGTCATGTTCTTCCCGCTTCTGTCCTTCAAACAGGACCCAAAAACCGACCAGAGGCAACCTGTGGTTCCAGCTAGAGGAGTTCAAAAAAGAGGTGCAAGAGAAGATTCGCAATATTGCAAGAGACCACAGAATATCAGAGAATGGCAAGGTCAAAGCCTTCATTCACGAGGTAAGGGTATACAGTGGTGCCTCGCATAACGAGCGCACCGTTTAACAATGAATTTGCATAACGATGAGGATTTTGCAATCGAAAAACCTATCGCATTGCGATGTTTTAATAGGGTAAACATCACATTGTGATGATTGGTAAGCGTTGCGCTTACCGATCTTCACACTGTGATGTTTAAAAAGAGCTGATCGGCGGTTCCAAAATGGCCGCAGCATCAACAAAATGGCCACCTGCAGCATTTTCGCGCCGATTCCTCGCTTACCGAGGCGGCGAAAATGGCGGCCGGATGGAGGATTTCTGCATAGCGGTAAGTTTTGTCCCCATAGGGGTTTTCCGTTCCATTTAGCGATGTTTCCGTATAGTGACGTTTTTCCTGGAACGGATTAACATCGCTATGCGGGGCACCAGTATACTGAGAGAGGGAAGAACCGCTCACTGGAGGAAGCCAGTTAAAATAAGCAAAAAGCAAGGTCACTCCTCTGCACCACCAGCTGCTTAGATGGAGATGCTGTCACCCTGGTTTGGGTTGCTTAGGTTTCTCCAGACCAGATCAGAGGGATTCATTCCATAATGGGGAAGGTACCACTTCCTGGGTACCCTTGTGAAATGGACATGGAGGGACAGGAGCCTGGGGTGTTTTTAAGGGCATTTTCAGAAGCAAACAACCATTGAAGTTATGTGTGAGAGACAGGAAGGAGCCAAGGCGCACTCTGGCGGAGTGTGTGCTCGGCGCATCGCTGGAGACCCAGTGTGGGCTTGGAGAGAAGCTCAGACTGAAAAAGATCATTTTGGTCACTGAGTACCAAAAGAAATTTCAGAACTTTAAATTGATCTGCACAGATTGATGTTATCCTGCTGAAGCTGAAAGAAGAAATTCTCCAGGAGAAGCTGATCATCTACAAGACGCTTCCTCTCTCTATCCAAAGTGACCTAAGGAAGCATTATGAAGGTGGGCAGGGTTTTTTTTTCTATATTACAGTTTCCATGCTAATCTGGCTCAGGATATTGAACAAAGGCAGGGGGTGGGGAGGAAAGGACAAAGTGATCTGCACCAGAAAGACTGACTTTAGTTTCAATGCCAACTTTTGTGGCTCAAACTTCACTTCCTCACTCCTATAGGCTGCTGATACTCTGCCATCTATATTTATGCATCTCCCTGGTGGTAATCAGAACCAGGTGACGATACAGCCAACAGACAAGGGGAGAACACATAGAAATGTGACTACTGAGGTGTTAGTTGCTTAAAAGTGCAAGACATAGTTGGAGTGATGAGCTGTTGGGCCAGCAGGTTTGACTGTGGTAGACACGCACATAATTGTTTCTGAGACAGAAGTGAGACGGGATTACAGCAAATTTGTATGCATAAGATGTTGCAGGAAACAGCCTTGATCTTTATTTAAGCATGTTGTTCTTTAGTCGTGTCTGACTCTTTGTGACCCACTGCCTCCTGGAGTTGGGTCAAATTCATGTTGGTCGCTTCGAGGACACTGTCCAGCCATTTCGTCCTCTGTCATCCCCTTCTCCTCTTGTCTTCACACTTTCCCAACATCAGCATCTTTTCCAGGGAGTCTTCTCTTCTCCTGAGATGGCCAAAGTCTTGGAGCATCAGCTTCAGGATCTTTCCTTCCAGGGAGCACTCAGGGTTGATTTCCTTTAGAATTGATAGGTTTGTTCTCCTTGCAGTCCAGGGGACTCTCAAGAGCCTCCTCCAGCACCACAATTCAAAAGCATCAGTTCTTTGGCGTTCAGCCTACTTTATGGTCCAGCTCTCACTTCCATACATCACTACTGGAAAACCCATAGCTTTGACTATGCCTGTAGAAACCCACTAAATTTTTATATAAACTGTAGCTTCTGCTATCTCCCTCTCCAGCCTTGATTTCCTTTTACCATTACCTGTGAATTACTGCAGGTCACAGCATCTGCTGTGGCGTGCTACTAACCTCTTGGCACAATCTGATCCTGAGTTATGCAGGCATAAATATGCAGTAGGATTCTGCGGAGTGTTTTGGGGAGAGGGGATAAAATCCTGCAATGGAAACTTCCTTGATTTTTCCTTGATTCCAAAAAAGAAAAAGGATCATCGCGAAACTTGCCTGTCACTATACATACGGTTGCAAAAAAGACCAGCTACATAATTAATACTGCGAATTACAAAATACCTGTCTGAATATAGATTTTTCTATATAATCTATATATTTGGTTATGATAATTGGAATTACTCTCAGAAGGAATTATTTAGAATTATTATGGGAAAAATACCGATTTGTAATGTGACCATTCAAATCCATCCCCTCTAAATGTATCCTTATCCCTTACCTTACCATACCTCTATAAAGAGGAAAATAAATACATAAATAAATACAACAATAATAATATAATAAAGCTGAGGCACACTGATGTCTTTTAGAACGATCCATTGCTTTTCATGATGTCAAGCTTTTGACCATTGTTACTTCCACAGCGGCTTCAAACGTTAGTGGTCGGAAATCCTGTGACAAGATGAAGAGAATTCTCAGAGAGGGCACTCAGGAAGAAGTGGTCAGGGATATGTTCGAGAAAGCCACCTCAAATATGATAATAAAGCTGAGGCACACTGATGTCTTTTAGAACGATCCATTGCTTTTCATGATGTCAAGCTTTTGACCATTGTTACTTCCACAGCGGCTTCAAACGTTAGTGGTCGGAAATCCTGTGACAAGATGAAGAGAATTCTCAGAGAGGGCACTCAGGAAGAAGTGGTCAGGGATATGTTCGAGAAAGCCACCTCAAATATGATAAGTTCCTTCACTGAATTGAAGGTATGTTGCAGGAACCCCTTGCCTTTGACTCTGAACACATCTATCTATCTATCTATCTATCTATCTATCGATCGATCGGTCGGTCGGTCGGTCGGTCGGTCGGTCTGTCTGTCTGTCTGTCTGTCTGTCTCATCTGATAAACTTATCTATCTGTCTGTCTCTCTGTCTCATCTGATAAACCTGTCTGTCTTTCTATCTGTCTGTCTGTATGTATGTCTGCCTACCTACCTATCTGGCCAAAGCCACTTTGGGTGATTTACAACTTATTACTAATTAAATACAAATAAACAATAAACTGAAAGCACAACAGTACCTCAAAATAAAACGCTGGAAAACATTCCACTTTCTAATGAGAATATGATTATACACAGCCTTCTCTTGATGAAGCGGTCTTGCTTGGAGTTCTCCAGCCCGTAGTGCTGGCTGGGGGATTCTGGGAGCTGTAGTCCCAAAAAGCAGTTTCGGTCAGACCCTTGGTCCAGCTAGAACGGAGAAAGGGGTGCAGTTGGTAGAGTTCTGTGGTCCAAACACACCTCTTGCTGAAGTGCAGCCCTTTTTTGTATTGGGGGGGGGGACTAATTTTTGTTACTAATTTTTTTAAAAAAAATGCAGATGCAGTAGCCAGTTTTTAAAAAAACCACAGGCCTGATGCCCAGAGGCTGTGGGTGCCCCCTTAAAACATGGTAAAGCGTGTACAAGGGAACTTGCTGAGGACTTTTCCTCCAGCTATGGAAATATTTTTGGAAATTGGGTAGGGGATGGGAGCCCCTGGCCCCCTGGCCATTACCTGCGACCCACGGCTGTGTACTGCTCGACCGTAACAGTTCTTTTTCACTCTGGTGGCTGTCCGTCCCTGGGAGCTTTTTATGTGGAGATTAAATTGGGATCCTTCTGGGTGCCAAGCGGGGGTCGAATAAGGGGCTTCACACCTACTCTCCAAAGCACCATGGGTAGTTTCGTGATGAGGGATGTGTTTTGTGTCCTGCAGGAGAAGATCTTGAGGACCTTGAACAAGGAAATGTCCATCGTGCGCGAACTCCTTCTGCTGCAGCAGGAGCAGCTGGCATTGCAGCTGCCGGGTAAGGGTCTCTAGCTGGGTGGTGCAGAACAGTCCAGGTCTCCTGATCTTGGGGAGGTGGCGTACTCCTCCGCCGTGCCGGGGCCTCTGCGTGTCTGGGATGAGTCCAGGAACCGAAGGACGTTCCCGAACACAACTCTTCGGCTGGGCTCTTTTGTTTTCTGGGCTTCACCTGGAGAGGCATGGAAAGGGGGCACCCTTCTTTTGCAAGATGGGTAAGAACAGGCAGAGAGCATTGTGGCTCCTACTAATTTTGGTGGGATTGCCCACTGGCTGGACTTTCTCCAGGAATTTAAGGTTTTGCTGTCCAGCTCCTTCCTTGACATCTCTGGACCCCAGACCTCAGCTCCCTTGTTCAAAGCCCTCTATCTTTTTGCCAAGGTGCAAGTAACTCACTTTACCCCTATAGGTTTAATATTTCCCCCCCTGCAGGTCCTGAAAGAGGGCATAGGAAGGAAAGAAAGCTGCCGTTGGACCTGGCAGCAAACTTTGCAAATTAAAAGCAGAGAGTTGCGTTGACGGGCACCCACCGGACTTGTATAAAAATATAGCCAGGCTCAGTGGCAAACACTTGCATTTAACAGGTGCCGGTACTGGCTTGATTTGGGAGCAAAGGATCTTCAAATGCATTTTCATAACTGGTAGTTAACTTCCATACACTAAGTTTGGCAATTGCTAGTTACACAGTGCTTGGTTTTAACTTCACTTCCTTCTGATTGTATATCTGGGCCCAGAATTTATTGATTTTAAATGGTGGCTTCGGGGTAGAATTAGGGCTTGATCACATGTGCCAAAAACAAAAAGCCCAGGTATCTCGATTCTGCAATTCGTCAATTGTTTTATAAATTTATGTTCACATGTTGCATGGGTAAGATCGATTCATTTGGCCAGCCAATTGTTTTTCCCCCTCTCACTGAGAGATTTGTTTTAAAAGTTACTGAGCATGTATCGCTTCATTCCTTATCATTTCAGTGTCCATGAATGTTGCTGTCAATTTTTTTTACTTTGCAAAGGGGTCAGGTTTTTGTGCACTGTGACCACTTAATGACCACTGTGCTTGTGCCCTTACATTTCTTTTCCTTAAAAATGGGATATTGATAAATTGCTAGTGGCAGCTGCCTCTGTTGCTGCCACAAAACCAGCATGGATATATTGCTCAGAAGGAGACAGCTTTCCCTCACTCCCTTAGGGATGAAAGACGGCTTGAGCAGAGATAGGGACATATCCTGCTTTGATTTGTAAAGAAAGCGGTGTTGTATTAACATCTCTTAGCTCCATTTAAAAAACACCGCTCCTTTTCATAATACAGTACTTTGAAAGTCCTTTAAAACCTGCTTTCTCCTCCCGATACTGTGCCAATGGGAAAACAAAAATGAAAGTGAAGAAGTGAGAGAGAGATGCAGGGAAAGGAGGAAAAGGGAACGAGTGAGTCAAAGAGGTGTAAGCCTTGATCATGATGCTTTTAGGAAATTTGAGCTAATCTCAGGCAGAGGACCGGACGCAGATGAACTGGCTGTGGTACAACGCGTTTATTGAGAAAACAAAGTACAGTGGTGCCTCGTTTAGCAATGTTAATCCGTGCAGAAAAAAATCACTGCTAAGCGATAACATCGCTAAGCAATATTAAAAAGCCCATAGGGATGCATTGAAACCCCTTCAATGCGTTCCTATGGGTTAAAAACTCACCTTTAAGCCAAGATCCTCCATAGGGGCGGCCATTTCTGGTGCCACTTAAGCGAGGAAACACATTGGGTGGCCATTTTGTTTACCCAGCGGCCATTTTGAAACCACCAATCAGCTGGCCAAAGATGGGGACTTTGCAGTGATCGCTTCCCTGCGGTCATCGCAAAGAGAAATTCACCCATAGGGACCATCGCAAAGCGATCGCTTTTGCGATGCCAAAAAGTCCATCGCAAAGCGATTTCGTCGCTATACGGAGCGATTGCTATGCGAGGCACCACTGTATGCCAAAACAGACCCCTGGGGCTCTTCTCATAAAGACTGAAAAGGGCACAAAAATACATTGGTCAGATACATATATACTGTTTACAAATAGGGAGTCATAGACCCTGAAATTGTGATTGGGCCTAATGATCTGCAACCCGTTTGGATCCTTGCCCTAATGGGTGTTCGGGCTGTGATCCGGTGAGCTCTTAAGTCTTGACAGGGAATGGAAAGTGGCGGAGGCCCTCCCTCTCCTTGTCCTTCTGATTTCCAGACATCCCGGTACCCCAGATGTGTATTCCTTCTCTCTCTGTGGGTGTTGTTCTTCCTGAGGACTGAGGCTCTGTTGTGTGGTCAAAGGGCCTCTTCACATCTGTAATATCCGATAACATTCCAGTAGTTGGTGGAGGCCAGTTGCCGGTCTGCCTAGGTTGCTGGACACAATGATGAAGGGTTTGACCCTCCTGTTTAAGAGCTGTGGCAGCCGCTGTCCTCCCTGCTAAGGAAGCCCAAAGGTTTAACCTTAGGAGTTTCCGTGATGGTCCGCTTTCCACCTGCTGTTGTTACACGGCTGGAGCAAAAAAGGGGGACCCTGGCTTTCTAATTAAGTACCAGGCTGCCTTGCTTGATAGTCCTGAATTCTGCCGGGCCACTGGTATGTGCCTCAACCGGGCAACCCTACTCCTTATGCCCCAGATGGGCAATGAGTCTCTCTTACAGGATTGCCTACAGACGATCGAGGCTGAATTTTCCAGCCGATCAGATTTGTGGGATTCACCGCTGAGCCATCCAGACTTGGAGTTTTTTTGTAGGTGGCAGTAGTTTGGTGAAGGGGGCCCTGAGGTGTAAAATGTAGGCATTTGACTCATCCTAAAGGCCAAGGCGGAAATAATACGGAGGGGAACAGAAGACAAAATCTAATAGGTTGTGCATTGACTAACAGTTGTGAGGAACAGGAAAATAGTGACACATCACTTACTTATTTTAAGAAAGAAAGAAAGAAAGAAAGAAAGAAAGAAAGAAAGAAAGAAAGAAAGAAAGAAAGAAAGAAAGAAAGAAAGAAAGAAAGAAAGAAAGAGAAACGGTTAGGGCAGCAGGGCCCTCCAGAAACAGGATGGCAAATGAATCGATTTGTATGATTTATATGGCAGGTGTCGCCTAGAAATGTACCGATCGAACTGAGAGCCGTGCAAACGGGCCCAGCAGGATCTATACCACACGACCACCTGTAGATATATACGGATTCAAGAAAGGGATAAAAAGAATTGGCATAACTGGGGTTCTTTTGGCACGTGTGATCGATGCCTGGGTAAAGAGAAGATCTGGCTTAGGGAAATTAGGTATTTGACTTAGAGAGAAAGGCCGGGAAACGATGGAGGCCGGAGAGGAGAGTCTGTGAATGTTTGACCACATCGTACTCCTTCTTTCCTTCCTTCCTTCCACCATCATCAACTCCTTCCTTCCTTTTGCAAACAGATATTAAAAATGAGTGCAGAGAAATCCAGCAGATCCTCCGGACGTTGCAACAAGATACGGGAATGAGGACGAGCGACCAAGAGGCGTCTTCCTGAAATATCATTTTCGCCTTATCTCAGGTTATGCTTTCGATTGCGAGAGCTCTCGTGGTGAAGTGACTTGGCAACACAAGAACTTGTATTCCTGATTTGCACTGGCTCACCGTACCCTTCCCCCCCCCCATGGCATTGCTACCCTTTTAATCTGTTGTTTTGCTTTCCGTCTGCTCCATTAGCCAATTTTATAATCAAAGGGAGATGTTTCCGTGTAGACTATCTAAGAAACATCAACTCATTTGTTATGCTTGAGCAAATATCTTGATGGATTGTCCTTTTGGCTTATGCCATTATGACTTTCTATTTTAGAAAAAAAACACACCAATAAAATCAAAATAAAAGGAATATATTTCGTTGCCAGGGATTTTGTATTTTACACAGCATAGTTATAGGTACCTGGTGGGACTTTCTGACTAAGGAGGTGTTCCCTAGTTTGATTGTCCTGGACTGGACCAGGAAGCGATGCTCCTCCTTAAAGGTTCTGAGTGAAACTCCATCAGGTGGGCAGCCAGGAGATTCCCCAGGAAGAAGTTGTCGCTTCGGGAGGGGGTGGCCTGGGGGTGGAGAGACCCGTGGCACAGATTTCTTGCTTCCCCTGGCTTGCGATGTCTCTTGGGCCGACTGCAATTAGAAAATGCCAACAAGCTTGGAGAGTCAATTATGGGTTCCCCGCTGGCCAGCTAAACTTTGTGAGTCTTGAGAACGTGGTAGCTGCTTTCCCAATGCGTTTATCCAGCTCAACATCTAGGGAGAGGTTATCAGAGATCGTTGAGCCAAGGTACACAAAGTCATGAACATACAAAAATGCACATGCCAGCTTCACAACAATGTTACCCAGGCCCTTAGATTTGAATGGGGTTTGGGAAGTTGGTCTAGCCAAGATACAGTATCCTCAGAGCTGGTACACAATCCTTAAAAATGCCCCATTTTCCATTTCTGAGGGTACAAATAAATGGGCCTTTCAGTGATACAGGGGCTATTACCCAGAAAATCTAAGAAGAAAATGCAGGTCTGCAGAAGACCTAGTTGTATTTACCGCAAAGCCAAAGCAGAAGCCGAAAAACACAAGAAAGCTGGCTTGCACCCTGATGTAGGATGATGATGAGGATGATGAGCTTGAGTGCAATTGTGGGCATTTTTTGTATCACCTGGCAGGACAAAGTTCCAAATAGAGTAGTCCTAGATAGAGCTGGAATTTCAGCAACGTCTATGTTGGCTCGGGCATGTCGTGAGAATGGCTGATGGTCGGATTCCAAAGGATCTCCTGTATGGAGAATGAGTGCAGGGAATGTGCCCCAGAGAAAGACCCCAGCTGCGATCCACGGAGATCTCCAAGTGGGATCTGAAGCCCTTGGAAATGGATTTCAACAGATGGGAAACCCTGACATCTGAGC